TATAATTCTCTCTATCTATTAAATAAAATATCTATCTATCTATCTATCTATCTATCTATCTATCTATCTATCTAAAGTTTGATTCTATAAAGGTTTTCAGAATTTGGATTTTTCCACACCTAGTTGGAAGTTTTGTTTTGTTTTGTTTTGTTTCATTAAAAGAACGAAATGATGTTGAAAGGCATCATTCATCATTCAGGACCCATTATGTCTCCATTATTGTCTGGTGCCACCCTTGTATTCATTTTGGTGAAGTTATTTCTTTCACATATATTTTTGTAAATCACTTTATGGTGGATTTGTGTATTGTCTTACATGCAGCAAACTTTTTTCCACCTTTTGTACTTTCTGAATGTGACCATTTTTTGAGGAAAGTGTAGACAACCCATGTCCACACAGAGTCCGCTGATGTTTCTTTTCACTTGCCATTAAGGAGCTTAAGGAAGTTGCCTGCATGTATATTAACTTTGTCCACCACGATCCCAACTCACTGCAAACAGGGCTTTTGACCTGCTAGAAGTTGTTGGTGCAGTGACAAAAACAAGGTCCAGTCATGTTTAGGCCGAGTTAAGTTTAAGCCTCTGTGAGATGGAGATTGACCCTGGATGGTGTTAGTCAAGTTGCTTTGCTACTGGCATCATCCTGTTCCCCTGCATTATTCAAATCCTATAGCTGACTCAGGGTGTCTCTTCTACAGTAAATGAGTCAATTCTTTTAAATAAGAAACCATTATCTCATCAAAGTGGCTTTTTGGCAATCTGTGATACATTTGTCCTCTGTTGACTCATGGAAGATCTTTTCAAAATGATATCCATCCACTGCTGCCAAACACAGCTTTCTTTCCTAAAAATTTAAACAGATTTTTCCCTTTCTCTTTTAGTTTGTGACATACATCTTAGAATTAAACATCACATTTTTTTTTACTACTGCTTACTAATCAGCTGGGATGAAATACCACATACTTCAGCTACTAAATGTCACTAACATAAATCCCACTAGCGCTAACTCGAGATTAACATATTAGACTAATGTAATATATAAATCTCGAGTATACACTTGAGGTCTAATTATGCGATGAGACTCGCGATTGT